ATTAACATTAGGGTTAATAAATGTTTTTAAATATTTGCGTTATTTAGTTTATTAATTAAGTGAAGTTATTATTTTAACAAATGTAACCTGAAAATCTTTAGGAACCACCTAATCCTTAATGGATATAATATTTCTGATATTACTATTTTTAAATTAAATTTCTTGTTTAAATAAATGAGTTTTAAATATTTTTCATTGTCAAATATGTAATTGTCGATGTGTTCGTTTCTGATTTGCACAAAATGTCTCTTTTATTTGACACATAATTGACATTGCCAGAATTCCCTACATGACATATTTTTTCGGTTGACATTTTTTTTTCTTTTTTTCTTATGTACATTAGAGCTTTGGTAAATTTTTGATAAAAACCGTTTATTACATTACTTTAGTTTCATGCATATTACCATGGTGTTTAGTAGTGTGAACGACACAGAGTACCTTCAACATATTAGTATGTTCGTATTAGTATGTGCTTTTGGAAAAGCTGAAAAAACATTGGCTCAACTTAAGACTTTCTCATAACCACATGTTTTGGTGATGTTTTGGTCAGTGTTTTAACACAATAAATGAATGAAATACCATAGTTTACTGTAGATTGTGGCTTGTTTTTTAACTGTAAAATTCTGGCAATCACAGTTGTTTTTTTGCCATAAATTGCACAGATATTTTTGTTTTTATAGTAGGGCTATAAAAGTATCGATTATGCAATGTGTATATTCGCAATAGTTACACTGTAGGAAAAGATAAAGATAATGTTAAATATTATTATTTTTTAATTATTTATAGAATGATGACCTTGTTATTTCACGTTTGCTTGCTCAATTTATGTACTTGAATACTCTTAAACTCCACATAAAACACTGTGTATTTCACTTTATATACATACATTTTTTATTCTTGTAATTTATTTTATGATACACTGACTGCATAGAAAACCATTTGATGATCCCAATTAATCTTAATTAATGAAATCCTTTCACTTAGAACTATTCAAATCATCTGGTGTAATTATATTCATATTGCAATATAAATTATCGCAGCAAAACAAACAATCACAATGTCAGATTTTGCAGCCCTATTTTGCAGTGGTGTTGTGTTCCAGCAATTGCATTTCAAAAAAAGACTTTCTGTGAGAGTGTCAAGGAGTGGCAAAGAGTTTGTGTACAGACAGCTACCTGTCAAACAGTTGACTCCTTCTGTGAGGCAGGCAGACCAACAGGCTTCTGCATGTCTGTGCGGGCACTTGGCGGACAGGGGAGGTCACATGACCTGCTTCTTACTGCATGGTGCCAGAGTGAAGCCTCACAATTGGTGTCCCATCTGTTTCCTCTCTTTAGCACCTGGACTCTCGGGTCTGCTGTAGTGGTGAGTCTATTTCCCTGCACTGTTGCTTTGTGACTTAGTGTTTGTTTGAAAGTTCGGGCTTAGAAATGCTCATGGGTCTACAGTGCTGTGTTTGGAGTTTTGCACTTTTCCTTTAGCCTATCTTTCTTCCTCTTTTAGGAAATATTTAATATGACTGGACATCTTTTAAAGCTGATTGGACATGTTTGCGTATTTCGGTTCCCCATTTTACAACTGAGTAGTTTGCTTTGAAAAAAAAAAGGAGAGTGTTTGTTGTATTCCCACTTGGCATTGCTTATATTGCCTCGGGATCAGCAGTCTATCCATGCTGAGATCTACTTGAAGCTGAGATTTTGAAGAAATACCAGTAAGTTGATGCTTAGCAACTGGCTTTTGCTTGCGTTATTTATTTTAAACAGACTTTTTTTTTAACAGACTTTATTTTAAACAGATTTTAAAAATTGTGTATATATATGTGTGTATATATATATATACATATATATATATAATTCTAAAATATTAACCTTTTTTTTAAACATTGTTTTTAATAATTTAAATATCCTTAAAGTATTGAACCTTGAAGTCACAGTTGAACAGTTAAAGTCAGAATTATTAGCCCCCCTTTTAATGTTTTTTTTTTTTTAATATTTCCCAAATTATGTTTAACAGAGCAAGGAAATTTTCACGTTTTTTATCTGATAATATTTTTTTCTTCTGGAGAAAGTCCTTGTGTTCATGTGTACATTTCAGCTACAAAAAAGCTGTTTTTATTTTTTATGAATCATTTTAAGGTCAAAATTATTAGCCCCATTAAGCTAATTTGTTTTTTGACTGTACAGAACAAACCATTGTTTTACCATAACTTGCCTAGTTAACCTAATTAACGTAGTTAAGCCTTTAAAGAAGTGTCTTGAAAAATACCTAATAAAATATTATATATACTGTCATCATGGTAAAAATAAAATAAATCAGTTATAAGAAATGAGTTTTTAAAACTATTATGTTTAAAAATATGTTGAAAAAAATCTCTCCGTTAAACAGAACTTGGGGGAAAAAATAAACAGGGGGGCTAGTAATTCAGGAGGGCTAATAATTCTGACTTCAACTATATGTTCTGTTACAATTTGCATCTCACCCCTGGCTTTTTAGCTTTTGTAAGAACATGAACAAACTTGCTTTGCAGGTGTGCAGATACTGTTCATAAGAATTCATGTTCGAGACATTGCATTTTTTTTCTAAGCCTGGATAATCTTTTAACCTCCTCCCTCCAGGGCTGATAAGATCTGAGCCCTGAAATGTAAGTCTCTTTATCTTTGTGGCCGCTTCTATGTGCACACGTCTTTTATTGTAGTCTTTTTATTAGTTTCTGTTATAGTCATTGTTTTAGTTGAGTAGATTTGTAGTGCGATAAACCCTCTTGAGCTAATATGAGAAAGTTAACTAAGCCACAAGCTGCAGCACATTCACTCACAGTTTAAATAGTACTTGTTTTAAGGGACAATTGAAGTACAAATTAGCCACACAGCAATATTAGTATGTTTTTCTTTTTTTTTTAGTCTGTAATTCTATTTCAGATGCTAAAATGTAGTTAGTATGTGTCTGAGTGTGCATATGCATGATGTTGTTGCATAGCACATTCATGCCAGTTTTCAGCATGTGAGATCGACCATTCACTGAGTGCTTTGTTGCATTGGCAGTGAAAGTAGGTCTGAGGTGGGGAATGCTGGTGCCTAGCAACAGGTAAAGACTGTCTCTCTGTAATTTGGCATTGGAGAACTGGAACAGACATGAGTTAAAGCATGATTTCAAACTGCCAGAAGAGCAGAAAGAGTCCTTAATGAATAAATGATATATTTTGCTATCTTTAGGGTTACTCATGTGGCTTCTAACCCTAAGTAAAGGAACATTTCACAATTATAATTCAAAAAATGAGCTTAGCACTCCATTCTTACAGCTAGATGCAATCTAAAGCCAATAGTGTTCCTTATATTAACTTGCATGAGGCAGTCATGCATGGGATCATTGCATGTAGTATAAAAACAGTTAAGAGGGAAATTATGATTTGTTAGATGACCAAATTCAAAACGTTCATTCAATAAAAAAAAAAAAAAAAACATGCTAGCAGTGAGCATGATATATATTTTGAGGATGCGCAATGCAAGAACCTTTATGTAAACGGGTCATATGCTTGTACATAGTTACCCAGGGTGAACTATTTCGAATTTGAGAGGCAAGTCATGTTTAATGTCCATATAAACATACTTCATGAGCAATTGTCAAGGCTCAAGATGACTTTGTAAACTGTAGCATTTGGAATCCTTTAATAAATGTGGATTAGGGTTAAAAATATCTAATTAATAAATGTGGTAAATAAGTATTTAAAGCATTAATAGGTACAGTTGTAGATTTGGGCTGATTTATGATATTATATCGAATCACAATAAAATTAATATCATTAACAATGATACGCTATGGACTTTTTTACTGTATGTTGTAGGCATGGGATAACTGGTTTTAAGGTTTACCCTTGTTTTTAAAACCTCTAAAATTTTCTGTTATACCATTCCTAAGGTATATATGTAAGGTTTTATTTAATGTATTTTTATGTGTTGTAAAGAAATCAGTGTTTTTGAAATAAAGAAGAGCACAAGTCAATGATTTATTTTAACTGTTTCGTCTGACATGTTTACTGTTTCAAAATAATACGAATGTTTCTCGAAATAAAATAAATTGTGCTCAGTAGGGAAAAAAGTTTTTCGTTTTACTCAAACATTTAAGAAGAACATATTTTAGAGCAGTGATCACAATACAGTCTAAGTCTTATATTAAAGGTCACCGAAGGTATATCCGAAATGTATATCCGAAAGTATATTATGCTTTTTAACAGACTCTCTAATTTTGTGGCTTCAGTCATTGTTTAGATACTCTTTTGAATCTGGAAGAATTAACAACTTAAATCGAAATATATACATATGTATGTATGTATGTATGTATGTATGTATGTATGTATGTATGTATGTATGTATGTATGTGTGTGTGTGTGTATGTGTGTGTGTATGTATGTATGTATATATATTGTTAATCGTTTTATATGGAAAATAATTATAGAGATCATATTTTTGCCATATACAAGTCCTAGTAGATAGTGAGAAATTTTACTAAATAATTAAAGTTCTTACATATCAACAGTCTTCTGTGTCTAAAATGACTAAAAAGTTGATTATTTAGCTATCCTTTTTTCATAATGCAAAAACTTTAATTCTGAAAAATATTTTCTTATGTATTCAATCACACAATAATCCTCTTTTAAATGCATCTGTGGCAAGTGGAAATTTTACATTTATGCATTTGTCTATAAATCATAGTTGATTAGAATCTGCCTTCTTCTTGTAGTGGAAATGTCTTTCAGAAAATGGACAAAAATAGTCCAACCATTGTGACTCTCATTAGGTTTCAAAAATAAACTCAAAGTACTCTGGAATGACAGAGGAGGTCATCCGTTTTCTTGTTTATAAGATTAAGTCTGCCTCATATGTATGACATGTCCCTTCCTCCCTTCCTGGTTATTCCTTTGAGAAAGTTATTCAGCTAATTATAATATCAGTGGTCAAATTTTATATTAAAGTGGCTTCTTTGTCTTCTTTTTTCATTGACAGATTCTTCTTTGTGCCAAGACGATGAAGGAATGAACATGGATTCATTCAACTGGACAGCAAATAACCAACACACCAATGGCCAAGCTTATGTCACCTCCAACCGCTTTGCCAGCTGGGTTACTTTTGATGAGGATGAGGACTCTGTGTTACAGCCTCCGGGGAGGCCGTCTAATATAAAACTGCATAACCTCAACAATTCTCCTCTGCAGGATGCCAACAGCAACCTGATTCCCTCTTTATTTTGTGGCCAGATGCCAGAGAGACACATCCTGGACTTGACCCCTGATGGCAACAATTCAATCTTTGCGTTTGATAACACATTATCAAAAAACAGCGTCCCTTACAACAAGAAGAACCCTTTCTTAGATGATGACTTCTCCAACCTAAAGCCCTCTCCTATTAACCCCTTCAGTGCCTATTTTGACGAAACAGACTTGAAAACTTCCCAAGGCATTGGCTTGTGTTCAGAGGCATCGGATGTGTCTGCTTTCAGCTCACCTTTCTTTGGATATCAAAATGCTGATATCAAAAGGGAATCTATTTTGCTTTTTCCACCTCAGAAAGACTCTGCAATTGAAAAAGATAGTGTCCAGTCAAGCTTTCCTGTAGATGGTCTGAATCAGCTCAGGAATATACACATCTCTGACCCTGACCGTGATGATAGTCCTCCTTTACCTGATTCAGTGGATGAAGCGGACTCCACTGATTCCACTTATGAACCACACCACATGACACCTCAGGAAGGCTGGCCGATGCTCCTGCGTATTCCTGAGAAGAAGAACATCATGTCCTCACGTCACTGGGGACCAATATTTGTCAGGTTGACGAACAGCGGCCAGCTGCAACTTTTCTATGAGAAAGGGCTGGAGAAGCCCTTTAAAGAGTTCCAGCTGAACTCCCAGCATGAAATATCAGAGCCCAAGCTTCAAAACTACGATGAAAATGGCCGGGTTCACACCATCAGTGTAGACCATGTGGTTTACAAGGAAAAGAGGAAGATCCAGCCCAAGGTCACAGTGGTTCATTTGCCTGTCAAAGAGCAAGTGGTGAAACTTGGGACTACAAACTACCAGGACTTCTTAAGCTTTCGTCACGCTCTACAGGAGAGACTTGTGGGCCTCTCGATGGACCAAGAAGGTCTCAACTGGCCAACGACTTACACTGAAGAGGAGGTCCATGTGGAGGTGAGGGATGACTTTTATGGGATTCTCTCCAAAGGAGACAGCCGGATCTTGGAGCAGCTGGTTTTTACCCGAGTGAACATGCTAGCCTTCTTGAATGGATCCCCACCTTGTAGTATCGGCCTCAATGATATCCAGATCAAAGGTAAAGAGGTGGTTTCTCGGCATGACATAATTCCTAACACAACCTCACGTTGGATTCAACTGCGGGACTGTCGATTGCATGAGTGTGCAGACCAGCTAGAGTTTAACGAGTCCCGAGCCATTACGTTCAGCCCACCGGTTGGCCGCCGATTTGAACTGCTTCGTTTCCGCACTCCGTTTGCCGAAAAAACCCTTCCCTTCACTCTGAGAACTGTTGCTTGTGTCAGGGGTGCAGAAGTGGAGATGCAGTCCTGGCTGATAATGTCAACCGGGTTCTCATCCAATAGGGATCCTTTAACGTTAACACCATGTGAGAATGTTGCAATTCGTTACCCCATACCAGAAATTTGGGCAAAGAACTTTAGGCGCGAGAGTGTGACGGGAGAGAAGTCTCTGAAGGCTCGATTCAACAAAGGAGCCAGCTTTGGTTCGACTAGCACATCAGGGTCTGAACCAGCCATGAGGGTCACACTCGGCACAGCCAAATACGAACAGGCCTTTAAGTCTGTAGTATGGAGGATTGGTCGCCTGCCGGACAAGAATTCAGGTGGGATTTTAGGGCTGAATTTGGTAATCATGTTGTCAAATGATAAGACAGCAGGAATGAACTTAGCATGCTGGAGTTGTCATATGTTCATAAGTCACACAGTAATAATTTCAGAATAGGTCACTTGTGAGTTCTTGTGAGTTCATATTATACCTAATATTATATATTTGGTCATACTTAATTTTAAGGTACAATTTTTTTAAACCACTTATGCTGCGTTCACACCAGACGCTGATGAAGCATCAAGCGTAAGCGGTTTACATGTTAAGTCAGTGCAAAGACGTGAATAAAATAATTTTAGTAAGCTACAAAAATATAGGATATAGGAGAAATAGGATTAGCATAGCATAGCCATGTTATGGTCTTTAAATCAAGATCATGCTTGCCTTGTTCTCCTCTGCTACTCTTGTCTAATAGAACTTTTTAATTCCATCTAAATTCTGTTTTTCATTTGATAAACCAGTTGCGACTTTTTCTTAGTGTCTATAGCCTGTATAGTGATTTTGCTGTTGCTCTAAAGTAATGCTACTTCTGCTTTCTTTGTATTGGCATGATGAGAATATTAGCATAGATAGTAGATTAAAGGTTTTAGTCTGAATAGATCCTCACAAACTCCCAATTCACAATGCAGTGCTAACAAGCAATGCCTCTTAATGCAGTATTGACTATCAATGCAAGTGCATTGGTGTAGAAATAATCTTTTATCCTGTTTTGTTGCTTTTCTGTGGTCATAGCATTTGCATTGCGACCAGTGCTGGTATTCTTTTTTTTTCTGTCAATGGCAAACGCTTTAGGCTTTTCAATAGTACATCAGCAGGGATCCCCTCCCCCTGCGTGAGCCTGATTGGTGAGACAAAACTCAAGCTGTCATTATCTATTAATTCACAGGCTCACTGTCTGACATCCCTGAGCTTCACAGTCCAGCACAATGAGCTTTCCTTAAACAATTTCTCTTTGTGTTTTCTTTGCTTTAGTAGGATTTCAAGGAATAGTGTGCAAACATTTAAATATCTGCTGTTCATTTATTCATCCTCAGGCAATTTAGCTTGTAGGTGACTTAGGGCTGGGTGAAACAGAAAAAAAAAGATCACAATATAATGTTTATTATCATTCAATAATTATTGAATATTTTTACAATCTTAGAAATATTAGGATTTTTTATTTATTTAAACATTTTATTTTAATTTACTAACATTACTAAGGCAAATAGTTTTAATAGTTTTTAATAAAAAATAAACAAAAATATCCTGTATCTTATGTCTTATAATAAAATTAACATAAGCGCTATAGAGACTCAAACTTAATAAGTAAAATGTACAAAGTGTGTGCAATGATAAAGTGTACATGCTGAATGATCAAAGCAAACTTGAAGGGCGGTCAACAGATCAACATCTGTAAGGTGTGATTAATAATGACACAGTACTACAAACTCTACTAACAAAACAAATTATGATAATCAAATCTGAGCTTTCAAGTAAAGGACACAACCATCATTATTTAATTACATATTGCAACATAGCAAATTGTGAAGTTGAGTGACTACATTACCCCATATTTAAAAAAAAAAATCTTTCAGATGGTGAGCTAATGGCTGGGATGCGCAAGAAAAGAAACCAAAAAGCCACTCTGGCAACATCCTTACATCCTTTTTTATACAGTCTCTTTACTACTGTTTTTCATGGCGCTCATTTTCGTGTGTGTTGCTATTCCTACGTGAGGTGCCGAAACCCAACCAGAGTCCGTTCACATGTTGCGTTTGAGGCCGTACTCACACTAGGTACAGTTGCCTCGAACCGGGCCAAAGCACGCTTGTCCCCCCTCCCGTCTCCCCCGACGGCCCGCGCTCACACCATATCGGGCCTCGGCACGCTTACGTCATCGCTGCTGCGCTGTTCAGAAGCGCTCTCTATGGCAAGCCTTTTTAGCATTTAAATCTTTGTTCTGACTCCATAAATATATTTAGAGATATCTCTAATTATATTTTGACTAGTCATAATTATAATTCGACTAGTCAGAATAACAATTAGAGATATCTGCAATTACAATTGTACTAGTACGAAATCAGATTGGAGATATCTGCAAATATATTATGACTAGTCATATTCCTCCATTGACTTCCATTGAAAAATATTTGCAGATATCTCTAAATGAGTTTTGACTAGTCACAATTGTAATTAGAGATATCTCTGAGTTTTTACTAGTCATAATACATTTGGAGATGTCTTTATCTTATTTATCTTATTAATTATTCATCATATTTAGAGATATTTACAAATCTATTTGAAGATCTCTAATTAATTTACTAATAGTCGAATTACAGTTGTAGATATCTTGAATTGGATTTTTGACAAGTCAAAACTCAGTTAGAGATATCTGCAAATATTTTTCAATGGAAGTCAATGGAGGAATATGACTAGTCATAATATATTTGCAGATATCTCCAATCTGATTTCGTACTAGTACAATTGTAATTGCAGATATCTCTAATTGTCATTCTGACTAGTCGAATTATAATTATGACTAGTCAAAATATAATTAGAGATATCTCTAAATATATTTATGGATAGTCAGAACAAGGTTTAAATGCTAAAACGGCTTGCCATACGCTGTCACTCAGTAGCACAGTGGAGATTTCTCTAGTTATATCGTTTCAGTCGTTTGATATGCCGTCAAATATTTCGCCAAACAGTCCTTAGGGATGCGGTGACACGCAGTCAGATATTTCGCCGAACAGATCCGCCACTTTTGGCGCTCATAAACAATCATTAAGCTCTCGTGCTGCAGGAATGAGGAGGTCTGCTGAAGGCGCGCAGCTGGCGTTCTGTGAGGAGTTTGCGTCTTTAATAAACTACGGCAGTTTGCGTTCACTGAACAGTAAGAATGATTAATAAATCCATATGAAACAGTCCCTTAAAAGTCACGTCTCGCTTTCGGTTTCGGGCTTTGGTGCGTTTTGCGCTCACACACAAGCGTACCGCGCCAAAGGCCTCTTCCAACCGGGCCAGGGCCGGCCAAGTGAACTGTGCTTGAGCGCGATTCAGCGCACTCACACTTCTCAAACAATCCGGGAAACGGGCCTGGGCACGGTATGGATGGCATAGTGTGAGTAGGCCCTAAAAGCATGTGAAAAGCATGAGAACATGTATTCGGTTTACTTCGCCATTTTTAATGCGCTTTGTGCTCATGCTCCTCTGGCATCTCTCATAACTAGGCGACCATCAACCGTTTTTCTCAGAGGATGACAAACAGAAAAAATACATTGCTGCGGTTCCGAAATTAGTTTGTATTTATAAAGAGAATGAAAAAACACTGCTGTGTTTGGGTGCTCTGTGTTTGTCTTAGTCTGCCATTATTACCGAAATGTCTATTGCATACAAAGTGTGAAGCAGATTTGTTAGTTTTAATTACATGAATTGTGGTGTGTATGCCGCATTCTGAAATGTTTTCAACTAGGTACGCCTGGTCACTTGCGTTGCACCAAGCCTGGCACCTTGATTGGAAATAACCCTAAGCTAATTGGCATTCCTTCCAAGGTACATACTCAGCAGACACATTTTAATAAAGCTATAGCATCTCATACCGAAGCTTCATACTGTACTTTTTTTTAAGCGTTATTGACAATGGTGTTCGGTCAATAAATGTCCATACCATTTTATCGGCCCAGCCCTAAGGTGACTTTTTGTTTTTGAGTTGCACAGTTGAACAAGACTTTCATCTGAAAATGTGGAGATTCAGATATTTCCAAGTTGTAATACAAGTCATTACGCAATAGGAAACCCTGGAACTTTTCCCAAGGCTATGAATTAAAGGCGATAATGTTGCAAATCATTTTTATATTATAGTTTCTTGCAATTTTCTAATCACAAGACCTCAAAATACTGTCAGCTGCCATGGGTATCAATTCAATGCTGAAAGAAAAAATGCCACCTACAATACATCTCGTATGGCTTGAGAATGTATAAATTAATGTACATTTTTATGTTTGGGTGAAGTATTCTTTTAACATCTTTAAATTCCAAAAACCTTATTTTTAAAAGCCATAAATAGGCTAAAGGCGGTATAAGATTTCAATGATGTGATAACCTTAAATAAAATATATATTTTTAAATGTCTGGGTAAAAAACGTAAACTTTTTTTCCTTTTTAAACACAAAATATTTAATTTTGAGAAACATTTAAAATATTTTCGGGCAGTAAACATGTCTGGCTAAATAATTCAAATGGATCATTGACTTCTGTCTTCATTAGTTTAAAAAACACAGATGTTTACATGGACACCAATAATCTGATTTTAATACGATTAAGACAATACTCTGATTAAGAGTCTACATTGTAAACAGAGATTTTTGATTTAATTTAAACCAATTAAGGTCATCATCCATATAAATACAAATTTAAATTAAGACATGTGGAGTATGCTGATTTTAGTCAGATTTTTAAAGTGCAGTACAGACATGCAAACACCGCAATCAAACTAATACCAGCGTGTAGGATTTCCGCTGCATTTTGCGACAGGATATTCTATACACATATGGCTGTTTGACACTATTCTCTGCACCTACAGAGTCGGTAAAGGACCATAGACACCTGCGTTACGAATTGCTGAGGGTTTTTTTTTTCTGATACCACGTGAGGTATCGAATTCCATTAAAACAACACTCTTGCAGCAGTTCATACTCGCATCCAATATCTCGTTTGTCACAAGGGGCATGCATGAAATGTTCCTGAATGAAAGTGAAAGTGTTAAACTGCATTTAAAGTTGACAAAATAAAAATAAAAACACCCGAAATGACATGAAACACCAGAGGAAATGTAGATAGTGCAGTGACAGAATGACGTTAATCAAATTATGTGCTTTAACATGTAAAACTTGATCATGAAAGGAACTTTAAGAAAGCAACTCATGTAAACACCTTAATCATATGATTGTCTTATTCAGATAAAGGCAAATAATTTGGTTACTGATGTCTGTGTAAACATAGTGACTGACTGTGAAATCAGATCTAGATAAAGTGATATGTCTTACAAGGCCAATTCTATGATGATGTTAAATTTCTCTGGTCCTGTGGGTTAGGCTAATGTAAAACTTCCTCTAGTAATTTGCATGAAGTGGTTATAATTGCATACATTCCATTAATGTGGTTGTGGTGGTATTTTTTGTAGCGCTGGGTCATCCTCATACATTCTTCTGCCGTTTGGAGCTGGGCTCAGATTGGGAGGTGCCGCCAACATTTGAATGCGTGGTCGAGGTGGAGTTTGACATGCCTTCTGCTTCTGCGTCCAAAGCCGCTGTTCGCTCTCTGTCTGTGGGGGACAAAACTGACTTGAAGAAATGGATCACCTACAAATCGCATTACTCCTATCAGGTATTCTGTGTGTGTGTGAAAGTGAGAGAGAGAGAGAGAGAGAGAGAGAGAGAGAAGGAAGTAGTAAAATATGCTTCATTTCACTAAAGTTGTCCTCTAGGCAAGGATGAATTATGTAAAAGTAACACACTATGTTCCAACATCCAGAAAAAGGCTATAAGCCATTCTACATTGGGTTACATGTTTTAATTAGGACATTTTTAAATGCACAGTTCTATTACCAGTTCAGTTTCCAGAATCATACTTGCATAAAGCATCAAATATATATATATAGCAACAGGCCTAATACGACATATTATAAGACTCAAATATGGAAATAATATCAGATGGTAACTTCGGTCAATTTTTCCCAATAGATAAACAGCTCTCTGTAAAATTTCATCATGCTTTCACTTTCTTTTAAGACATGAAACACACATTTACCAGTAGGAATGACATCCTGCCCTACTCTCTTACAAATAACCATGTGACTATTATACAATGTGACTATTACAAAATCATAATACACTGTGATATAGACTGGGTCGTTAGTTTCTTGGACTGATTTGTTTTCTCACTACAATCGATCCGCTCAATCTAGCAGAGACCACCTCATTCAGGCGATCTCGGATCGATTGATTTGGAACTGCGCAAATAAACGGGGTAAACGAGATAAACTCTGAAACAATGTTTATGTGTGAAAGCACCCTAAGATTGTATTTGCACGCAATTGACATATAGACGCAGCCAAGGTAAACTTTTTGTGACAAGGCAGCACTGCCCCTATCGGGCCAGTAACCACTCTGTCCACTGGCCCGAGCGTCTCGTACACTATATATATATATATATATATATATATATACACACACCGCTGCTGTACATTTTCATGTTAATATTACGGTAGTTTATTCCACCAAAACCCCAGTAAAGACATGGATTATTGCAAAACAAGATGGAGATTTCATTCCAGCAATTGCAGGGCACTGAGGGCAGGGTATGTTATTTAGGTTCTTCTGGATTTTATATAAGTGTGTTGGTGTTTTTATCTGGTTTTTATATAACACATTAAAAAATAATACACATAACTAGGCCTGTATATAACCTTTATTAGCACTGGCAATCAAATAACCGCATTCAAAAAGATTTTTTTCACATAAATATATTGAATCAATGTTTATTATTTGCTGCCTTCTGTTTTTAATCCAGTTTCTTGAACTTTCCCCCCCTTCATGAGTTAAAACTTTTGGAAGTCTATAAATTGACTTTCATTCATTCATTCATTTTTTTGTCGGCTTAGTCCCTTTATTAATCCGGGGTCGCCACCGCGGAATGAACCGCCAGTTTTTACGCAACGGATGGCTTTCCAGCCGCAACCCATCTCTGGGAAACATCCACACATACATTCACACACACACACTCATACACTACAGACAATTTAGCCTACCCAACTCACCTGTACCGCATGTCTTTGGACTGTGGGGGAAACCGGAGCACCCGGAGAAAACCCAAGCGAACGCAGGGAGAACATGCAACCTCCACACCGAAACCCTAACTGAGCAGAGCCTCGAACCAACGACCCAGTGACTTTCTTGCTGTGAGGCAACAGCAGTACCTACTGCGCCACTGCATCCCCCCTAAAATGACTTTTTTTGGCATTTATTATTTTGGCCAATTTAAACAATTATAAAGAACACAAAACAGAAACATTTTTATCCTCTGACTGTGTTTCCTATGTAGAAGAACCACTTCCTGCGCTCCATCTGAGTCTCAGTCTCACACATCATCAGTGACGTCATGTGAAAACAATCTGCAGTATTAATTAGTTTTGTGATCCTTGAATAGGGTCTTAATCAATTTTAATAATGTCATTGTTCTAAATTGGGCTTAATTTTCTTTATACTCTACATTGGTTGTGTAACTTTTTTTAAGCTGTTTGATAGATTTTATAGCTTTGATACTTAGAGTATCTTCATCTTCCTCACTGACACAACTTACCCCTCCTCCCACAGTGATTAAACCTATATTTATGTCATATTATATTCTATACATCTGTCCTTCCCCTCAAAATTACATTTTAGAAGCCTGCTAATTTAATTAGCCTATTTGCTGGTGATTTTCAAGCCCCTCAGGCTGGGGCTGAGTTAAATGTCATGCACCCTCAGACAAAGCCACCGAAAGACAAGTTGTCCCCCTGAAGCGAGCTGCTGTTTCAGCTGCCAGAGCTCGTTTTCCCTACTGCAATTCAAAACATGTCATTAAGGTGGCTGGAGCTTCTTTCTACAAACATCTGTTCCCATTACTGTTCAGCAACCACAGGGAGTGATTCATCACCGAGCAGAGGTGCGCAAAAACAGCACAAGATGTAAAACTCTGCCTGTAACCTGCGTATAGGAATGAATGTAAAGCTGCTGATGAAGCATCTTGCTGTATTTGATTAATGCATTGTAGCAGGTGTCTGAATGCCTGTGAGGTCAGCCAATGGAATGAGCTTGTTCAGAAAGTTTAGTCTGGATCAGAATTTTCTAGATTTGGAAATCTTCAGCCATCTTACTTTTGTGTCAGTTCCGTATCAAGTAAAATTGGATTAGATGACAGTGATTCAGATACAAAACACTTATTCTGATTTCCAAATCTGGATCACTAGTACTCTAAATACAATTACAATTTATGCTACTACATTGTAGAAAATTAGTTGCTACCTTAAATGTTTAAGTTGAATCAAACTAGTTTACAAGTCATCTTAAATTAAAACCATAAAGGGCACCTGATTGACCCCTTTTTCAAGATTTACGATTAGCCTTTTGTGTCTTAAGAATGTGATTTTAAAGTTTCAGCTCAAAACACCCATCAGATTATTTTATTATATCCTTCAGAACATTGGAATTTTCTGTTCTGAACACAGTGTAGCTGTTTTTGTTGCCTGTGCCTTTAATGCTAGTTCTCCCCGCCCACCATTTCTACTGTTTTTGCACAGCAAATGTGACAGGATACACGTTAATATACAATGCTGTAGGGATATCCGTTATGTTAATGTACAAAATAAACCTGATTTAATGTTTACAAACTGGGATTAAAGCGTCGTCTTTCACAAGTGTACTGCGGCTGAGGTCATGAATTACGTAACGATTTTACCGTCTTTAACTTTATTACAAACATGCGCTGTTTTAAATATGTTATGAACTTGTAAAACTCATCCTTGATCACATTTGATAATGACTGATGATCACAGAGAGCTGAACAGCACTTGTAATCCTAGTTGCTTTGCGCACATGCTGTCTTGTTGATATGATTATATGCATTACTATGGAGGCATGTTAATACGTGGCTGTCAATCAATTCGGTGGGACGGGGAAACTGCACTCCTATGTCACGTTGTGGTCGGCCTCAAAATGGGAGTGATTTGGATCCTATTTTAACGTCAGGAAATTAAAAATAAGAGACTTATCTCTATATCACCCCAATATAACTGTGGACACACTAAACCTACACACAGTTCTGTCTAAACAGCTTACAAAAGATAATTTTCATCATAGGTAATTTTCATCTCAGCAGGCCCAGGATGTCAATATGTCAGATTGACGTTGTACCCCAACGTTGTGGGACATTGAATTTTTTTCAGAACAAAACTTTTGGTCGATGTCAGTGTCCAACGTCGGACAGATGTTACATTTTGTTTACTTTCCAACACAACCTAAAAACAACTAAATATCCGGCCTAACGATGTTACAGCTTGACGTTGAGTGAACGTTACCAATATGAGGTCTATCAGACATTGGATTTTAGTTTGCCATACCTGACAAATAAATGTCAGTATTTGACGTCAATATGACGTTGTATTAAGATGTTGGCTCAAAGTTGGATTTTGGGCACTTTCTATAACGACCTAAAATCAACTAAATATCAACGTCTTTTCAAGTCGTTATTGAACATCAAAATAACATTGTCCTTAGACGCTGGTGCCCTAAATCCAACCTAATATTAACGTCTTATGACATTGTGTGTCTGCTGGGTTCAGTGACATGTAGTCTAAACAGTCTCTCTGTCATTCCGTATAAAGATTTTTGGACCATTGTAAATGCTTTTAAATGGTTTGCTGCAATTATAAAGTGGCCATTTCTTGGAAATGTTCAGTATGATGCGGTTTACTATCTATGGGTGATTTGATTGGACAGGAATCACAGGACTGATTTTTCTACTGAGCCAATCTCCGAAGACAAGAACAAATAAAGTAGTGGCTTCAGGTGGATGGAAAATAGTGGAGTAAAAGTACTGATACAGCACACAAAATTTACTCAAGGGAAAGTAAAAGTACACATTTTTAAATAAAAAAATAAAAATAATAAAAAAATACTCAGATACAGTAATTTAAGTGTTTGTAATTTGTTACTTTACACCACTTCTAAAAACAGCTTATAAAACTTAAAAAGTCGAAAACATGATTAACTTACTTTTATTTAGTAATTACCACAAAAACATGTTGTCATGACATAGTGATCATAATATTTTAGTGTATGAACATCACCTTCCTTTATCAATGATCATATTATAAATCTTAAAGAGACTACTTGTCAGATACCTTTTAAACTATACAAACTGAGGGTATTCAAAAGTTTTTTTTTTAAACAACAAATTCTCAGGATTTTATCCAGCTTGGATAGTGATTAGATCCAATCCAAACAACTGGCCCTAAGTGATGGTTGAGTTTAGTGTATTCTGTTGGTTATAAGCTCAACCTTCTTGCCTTGTAAGTGACTGCCTCCTTGTGGCGAACAGTAGCTATTGTTCTACTACTAACTTGCATTTGTCTCTGTTGTCCTGTAGGTGGCGGTGGAGCAAAAGAATGAAACCACAGTGGAGGGGACTCCGAGTGAGAGATCTAGTGAGTGCACTCAGCAGTGAGGAAACACAAGAGGGAGGTTTACAGGTTGCACTTGATGAACAAGAGGAAGTTCGGCCCTGACCTTGGGTAGTTTTCGTTTACATTTTTTTAGTGTAATGTTAAAATGAAACTAAGACACATTTTCAGCATGAATGATTGGGGAAATGGAAACACTGCAGAATATTTCTAGAACTCTATGTGTCCAAAATATTTCAAGTATGTGACTTGCTGTTGCAGCAAATTCTTATGATTTTGTTTGATGGATATGGCAACCCACATAGCAATTTATTTCCAGTCATGATTTGTGTAAAAAAAATCTATATTTTGCCTATGAAGTGTCATTTCTTTAGGTTTATCAGGTCAGATTTCTTGCTATTTAATTATTTACCAAGGATAACGAGGGACTGACACATTTTCAGAGCTTTTGAATTAGAATACAGATAATTAAGCCTAACTTCTAATAAAATAAATGCTAGTATAACAAAAAGGTACCATCAACCTTAGATTTGTGATCTTGAGACTTTTATAAGCACATTTTAATTGGTTATAAATATTTATATTTGAGTTCCATTTCCATGCATTTTTAGATCAACAATTTCAAATAAAAAATATAATTTACATTCATTTGACTTTAAGTTTATTTCTCAAACACTGAGAAACAAATCTGATGAACTGAAGATTAATTAGGTTCAAGTCCTAAAGCATTGTATTGCTATGAGGGAAATAGATTGTGAATGTCAAACACCCTTTATTTTGCACATGTCGTTGAGTTTAAGTGAGCATATTTTTATTTAGTTTTAACACTTTAAAGTAAGTTTCGTTATGTACGAAGTGGCCAAGAGAGCTTAACTTGCTGCAATTAAAAAAAGCACATGCCATTACAAAAAGCGACAGCAAATTGAGATAAGATCTTCATCCATTTGACAGCATACAAGCTGCAAATCATTACAACATAAACACATTAAAAAAAAACAAAAAAAAAACTTGCTGCTTTTCGCACAACACCAATAAATTAATAAAATGCACTGCATTTTCTCACAATGCAAACAAAGAGCATGGAACTGTCATGGTGGGATATTACAGAACACAAAAATCCATGTGCAGCAGTTTATTTTGACAAAAAAAAAAAAAAAAAAAACAAGCGATAATCCAGAAAACACAGGTTGACAAGCAAAAGCAAAAATCAAGTAAAGGAGTGAGCACAAAAAAATTGTCCAGGCTAGAAACAAACAGGAATCCAAAAAAAGAGGGCAAAAATATAAAACTAGACATGTCCAGACATGAACAATCAGGAATCCAAAAATAAGCAAATACAAAACTTGATCACCAAACACGAGGAACAAGCAAATTCCTAAAGCAACTGAGATACAAGACAAAGGGTTTCTAAAGACCGAACTAAATTCACAAACAAGAAACAGCTGTCACAAATTATAGACTCAGAAGCAAAGCATTGAAGGAAATGAAGTTCAAAGACAAAAACAAACTAGTGCCCTCAAGTGTCCATTGAAGGGCACTGCAACAGGTGTGACAGGAGCACAATGGAAATTTATGTTATGGTTATTTAGGCTAATAAAATACAAAAGACAAGAGAATCGGGTTGCTAAATAAACAAACAAAAAACTCGGTTTTCAAAGATCACCCACAACTTCACTGAGCAATAGTCATAGCATAACGGCGTCCATCACGTTTTTGGGTTTTCTTAAAACATTTTTGTTGTTTTCCGTTCTTTTTGCAAATATTGTGAGAAAATGCAGCATGTTTTCGTAAATTGTTTGCGTTGTGAGAACATGCAGTGCGTTATATTAATTTGTTTGTGCGTTTTTTAATGTGTTGCTGTCAAACCGATGTTTTTTGTAATTGCATGTGTTTTCTTTAATTGCAGACTGTTAAGTTCTCTTGGCCACCGTAAGAGAGGACTTAAGCTGTGTTAAACTACAAACAAACTGCTGTAATTATGTTTGTGTGTGTGTGCTTTAAATACATTTCTTAAAAAAATAAGTTTAATTTTTCTTACATTTTATTGACAAATAATAAGTGTCTAACAACAACAACAAACAATATTTGAGGTAACCCTTTCTAAATAATATTTGCGCAATATTTGAGTAGCATTTCATTTCACATGTTGTTGTTTTGGTTTTGGGAGTTTCTGTTGTTTTTTTAGCAACACTCTTTGTGCACAAACCCAGTACTAATCAAGAAGCATTAAAACAAATGACATAATGTATGCTTTAATCATAATAAAAATGATTATGATTCACCGTTGCTCTGGTTTGTTGTTAAATGCAGAGGAACACACTTTGAAGAAGTACAATGAATGATTAAAGAATGTTTTTGGCATTCTTGTTCATATGGTCTGATGCATTTCTGTTTCTGCTGCAATATATGAATAGCAGGGATTCACATTACAGATGTGTAGCCGACAAATCTCCAACAACTTCCAGCTTCTTCAGCTCAAAGACTTCTACTACGTGCCTGGTCCATAATAACATGCGAACAGTAGGGGAGAGCAGGGATAAAAGTATTATTTTTCATAAAAATCTATTTTTGAAAATAGAGCTTAAGACAGAAATATATTTTGGCAGTGGTTATTAACTCATAAGTGTGGTCTATTAGTATTGGGTGGTATTTTGAACAAATGTAGATTTACTTTATTTACACAACAAAATTTGCTAGATTTACTGGCTTAATCTGGTTTATTTTAAATATATCTGACTATGACCTTGTTAATCTTTGCAAAAAATATTAAACTTATACTGAAGTTCGGACCTAGCCGCAGGACACAGTCCCGAAATCCATCAAGAGTTGCATGCTAAATGTGTTGCCTGGAAAGCAAATGTTGTCAGGGCTTTGAGAAAATAGATTTATTACTTTTGTCCCACATTACTTTCATCCCATACTACACTGCCTGACAAAATCTTGTCGCCTATCCAATTTTTGAGCTTGGACGACTGCATCCATACATCTCTGCAATTACTCCAATAACGTATTAATAAAGTCATCTGGAGTGGCAAAGAATGCGTTCTTGCAGGACTCCCAGTGTACATCAAGGTTCTCTGAATTCATCTTCAATGCCTTCTCCATCTTCCCCAGACATGCTCAATAAAGTTCACACCTGGTGACTAGGCTGGCCAATCCTGGAGCACCTTGACCTTCTTTGCTTTCAGGAACTTTGATGTGGAGACTGAAGTATGAGAAGTAGCACTATCCTGCTGAAGAATTTGCCCTCTCCTGTGGTTTGTAATGTATTGGGCAGCCCAAATGTCTTAATACCTCAGGCTGTCGATGTTGCCATCCACTCTGCAGATCTCTCGCATACCCCCCATACTGAATGTAACCCCAAACCATGATTTTTCCATCGCCAAATTTGACTGATTTCTTTGATATTCTTGGGTCCATGCGGGTTCCAATAGGTCTTTTGAAGTATTTGTGATGATTGGGATGCAGTTAAACAGATGATTCATTGAAAAATCTACCTTTAGCAACTTTTCCAAATGATGAACTAGAGGTCAAGTTATTATTTGTTGCTCTTACAACAAGGATTGAAGAGAAGACCTTTGTCAGGTAGTTTATAATTATTTTTTTACATTTCTTACATTGCAAATCCATATTCAATATCTTACTTTTTTTTTTTTTTACAGTTTTTGTTGCAAATATGTTTTAGACTTGGTTAAAAACCCATCTTCTAAGAATTGATGTCAGAAAACCAGACCAAAATACTTTTAAATAATAACAAATATGTCAAATAAGCAAGTTTTCTTGCCTACGCACAGTGTTATTTAGATGGCTTTAATCAGAAATTTCCTGATTGATATGTGAATATAGGCTTTTCATAGACTCTGTTGGAAATTATCACTTAGCACTAAAATTAGCTGTCTAAAAACTAATTTAGAGCAAAATATCCAGGGCTATACTAAACTGTAAACATTTGATGATTCAAATTATAATTGTCAATCCTCCAGTTTTCCCAGGATTCTCCCTTATTTACAATTCTTTCATGCTGTCATCAGGTAAAGGTATTTTCTCGTATTTCTCCCAAATTTTAATCTTTCTATGAAGGGTGGCAATCATAAACATCATAGAGGCGATCCTCCCTATACGCAACAAAACTGCCGAACCACCAGGGGACACTCCCTGCTCTTAAATGTGAATCTGTTTTGTGCTTTCATTTTATTTAGGCATGAAAATACTAGCTGCAGGCGACGCGGTGGTGCAGTGGGTAGCACATTCGCCTCACAGCAAGAAGGTTGCTGGTTCGAGCCTTGGCTGAGTCAGTTTTTGTATGGAGTTTGCATGTTCTCCCCGCCTTCGCGTGGGTTTCCTCCGGGTGCTCCGGTTTCCCCCACATTCCAAAGGCATGCTGTACAGGTGAATTGGGTAAGCTAAATTGTCTGTAGTGTAATGTATGTGTGTGAATAAGTGTGTGTGGATGTTTTCCAGTGATGGGTTGCGGCTGCAAGGGCATCTGATGTGTAAAAAACTGCTAGATAAGTTGGTGGTTCAATCCGTTGTGGCGACCCTGGATTAAAAAACGGACGAAGCCGAAAAGAAAAGAAATGAATGAACATTAACTGCGTCCTAAATGGCACACTATGCACTATATATCTATCTATATATATATATATATATATATATATATATATATATATATATATATATATATATATATATATATATATATATATATATATATATATATATATATATACACACACACACATATACAGTTGAAATCAGAATTCTTAAATTTGTTTTTTCTTTTTTGTGTATTTCCCAAAGGATGTTAAACAGAGCAAGAAAATTCGTAGAGAAAGTCTTATTTGTTTGATTTCAGCTACAATAAAAGCAGTTTTTAATTTTTTAAAAACCATTTTAGGGTCAAAAGTATTAGCCCCTTTAAGCTATGTATTTTTTCAGTAGACTACAGAACAAACCATCATTATACAAAAACTCGCCTAATTACCCTATCCTGCCTAGTTACCCTAATTAACCTAGTTTAGCCTTTAAATGTCACTTTAAGCTGTATAGAAGGGTCTTTATATATAAAGAATTGCCTTCATGTGTTTATGTTATGTTTTTTTTAAGTATTTTATACACTGATGCTGCTTTAGCTTACAAAATATACAATATGTGTTAATGAGAAATATTATAAACCACTTCTTTCCCACAATTCTGTTGAGTCTATAACCTGAATCTGAAATGTGAGGGAAATGATGATCCCCTCATATCATCATAGCCAGGATGAGTTTCCATAGTTACCAACTTGAAAACTGAAATGTGGCAAATGTGAAGGAACCACTCGAGACAAGACCCGCAACTTTATTGTATTTTTCTACACTGGAGACACTGAGAGAATCCTGGATAGGCTTGGGCATTTTTGAGCCTGTGATATTTTGGAAAAGTAATAGCTTTGACCTAGAGAGAAATTAGGACTTTTTTTATTCTGTACAGCAGCAATTTCCCAATGCTTGTGGAGTGACACTGAGGTGAAGCAGATATTGATCTAGCAGAGGTTTCTCTCCTGCAGGAACAGCGCCTGTGAGGATTCTCAAATTCTTAATAATTTATCCTCTGTCTGCACATGCATAAATGTGATAGGGTGAGAGATGCATTTGAACTATCAAGTCATTTCAATTCAATATCTCCAACCCCCAGAAGTACTGTAGCATGGGTTTCATAGAGTCTTTCAATTATTTTGATTTTCAATTTAAGCTGAAGCAGATAAAATTTCTATTTAGAATATGAGGAAAAGATTGATACATTAATTAATGGGTGGATAGTTTAATGTATGCTTTTTGCATACATAATTGTATATCAGTAGATAGATGGTTGGATTATCTAAAAATGGGTAATTATAAACCAACACTGAGTCAAATGTGCCTAACACAACCATAAGGTAAAATATTTAAAATTAAATGGAGTTCGGTCTAAACTGATGTTGGGGCCAGATCCAAATGGGTGGGAC